GGAGTTCTTGGAATGGTTCAGCTACTGCGGTATTTGGGATATGTGGCTAAGTCATGCCCTGGGGCTGTCAGTCCTGGGTCCCTGGCTCCCAAGCACCCTGGCATTCATCCTTCTGCCCTCATCTGGCACCCAGTTAATGTCTCTGCTCAACCTGGAAACATTTTCTTAATGACAAAAAAATAAAATCATAGGTTAAAAATCTCGAGCAGTAAAACAGCAGATGACGTTGTGTGGGCAGCTGCCCAGAGGACACAGAACGCACGTCTCCTGAGCGGGTGGCCTTATAAGGACAGGTTCAGGAGTAGAATGGGCAGGAGGGAGGGCCACCCACCAGGAGAGTAGGAGGCTGGAGTAGGGGTGGGTGCCCCACCACTGGGCTGAGTGTGAAGCCAGTAGGATGCCTGGCCAGGACCTGACTCCACAGAGGGACTTGGCTGTGCGCGAGCTCCAGAGGCCCTTGCGGGGCCAAAGCCTGCCTGTCCCTCTGCCTTCACTGTGTCACTGACCTCTCAGCCAGCTGCCACGCAAACCTGGCAGCCTCGCCCTGGGAACCCCCTCCCTCCAGGGCAGAGGCCATTTCCCATCCTTCATCCCGCCTTCCCCCACTTGTGGGCCCAGCAGGCCTAGCACCAGCTGGCATGGTGTGCAGTAAAGGTTTGTGGGGTGACAGAATTAGGAAATGAAGGGTTCTCTGGTGGGAGTTTTGGCTCATCACCTGGACTGTAGCACCTGGAACTCAGGGCAGCGTCTTCTCTCCTCAGAGGGCCCCATGTGGGGCTGAGGAGGTGGGTAGGGCTGGGCAGTTTTTGCCCTGCCCAGGATCACCTTTGTGCCCAGTGTGAAGACACACATACCATCAACTTCCTCCTGTTAGTGTGGAAGAGTTTCACTCCCCGAGGTCAAAGTGTGTGTGTGACAGAGAGTGTGTTTCTGGGAGACTCCTGATTGTCTCTGCACTTTTCTGACCCCAGCATCGCTAGGATTAAAGACCTGGCCCTTGGGATCTGAGGGTGAGCAGACGAGCCCCCCAGGAGGTCCCATACTGAGAGAAGGACTCTGGAAGCCTCCCCAAACCCTCATTAGGAAAGATCCTTCCCTGAGCTTCCTAAAGCCCCACGTTCCTCTCAGGGTGAGTCCTGCGTAGAGACAGAATGGTCATTTGAGGAGAACTGTGAGGGTCACGCCTTCCCTTTAACAGCTTGCACTGTACCTAAAACCCTATCATTTATGAGCCGTTATCCTGAAATAAGCATTGCCTCGTCCCCTAAGTTCTCAGAAGGCAAAGAGTGTTCCCTGCAGAGGTCAACAAAGGAATTCTTTACTCTCTAGGTAAGACAGGAGGACAGGGCAGCTAGAGGCAGCCTGGGCAGCATGGGGGACGGAGAGTGGAAGGAAGGGGCTGAGAGGGCAGGAGGGTCCCAGAAGAGGGAAGCGGCTCCTGACTTCAGTTGATCCTTGGAGGCCAACAGTGACCTGCGAGTGTGTTCCCTCCCCGCAGAGTGAAAGGGTCAGGGCCGAGAGGAGGTGCTGGCAGCCCCTCAGCTGGCGCTGCTCCCATGCCAGAAGAATGTCATCAGCTGCGGAAGGTTGACTTGAGATGAAGCAAGAGAGCAGAGGTGAGAGAGGATCAGCGGCAGCTGTGTGTGCTGGAGCCTGCCTGGGGGCCCAGCCTTGCATAATACAAATACAAGATACAAGGAAACCCCCCGATACAAGTACCTGAAATGCCACCATTACACATGTATTATTTTGGGTTAAGCAGTGCCTCTCTGTGGTAGGCCAAATAATGGTCCCCCAAAGACATCCACGTCCTCATTCCTAGAACCTGTGAATCTGTTACCTGGACTTTGCAGGTGTGATTAAGGATTTTTTTTTTTTTTTTTTTTTGAGGTGGAGTCTCACTGTCGCCCAGGCTGGAGTGCAGTGCTATGATCTCAGCTCACTGCAACCTCCACAATTCTCCTGCCTCACCCTCCCAAGTAGTTGGGATTACAGGCATGCGCCACAATGCCTGGCTAATCTTTGTATTTTTAGTAGAGACTGGGTTTCACCATGTTGGCCAGGCTGGTCTCGAACTCCTGACCTCAAGTGATCCACCCATCTCGGCCTCCCAAAGTGCTGGGATTACAGATATGAGCCACCACGCCTGGCTGTGATTAAGGATCTTGAGGTGGGAGATTGTCCTGGATTATATGGGTGGGCCCAATGGAATCACGAGGGTCCTTCTAAGAAGGAGGCAGAAAGTCAACCAGATAGAGGGCACTGTGCACATTTCCCCAGGAAGGGAACACGTAAAGGCCTTGAGATCTCAGGCTGAATGGGTTAGGAGATAGGCCTCCTGTCAGAGTCAAAAGGCCACCTTCAGCCTGCTCCACTGGGCCTCTGCGGGGAACATGGTGGGGACCCAGAAGAGGAGACAAAGCATAAGCGGACAGGAGGGAGAGCAAGAACCGGGCAGAATTAGCTTCATTCTGCTTACATGGGCCAGGCCTTGGTTTGCTCCTGGAACCTGGACCCTGCCATCCTCCTGACCTCCTCTCTAAGGATCCTCTTGTCCAGACCATGCTGGAGTGTGTCATCTGCTGCTGTTTCAAGGAGCCACCAAGGCAGCCACCTGATCCTTAGTATTAACTGAAGAGATTGTCCTTCTCCCAGGTGGCACTCCCAGAATCCTCTGCTCCAGCCAGGCACCTTCTTTAACCCTGCTGACCTGAGAGGCAGAGAGTGGTTCTCCCAGGGTGTCTGAGTTTGACGATAAATGCTGGAGATTTGTTAACCATAACAGTGATGAGGAGGATGATCATAGTAAAGGTAATGATGATGGAATGAGGCTGGGTGTAAATATGTATAAATAAGTAGCTACTAGATACCATGGCACAATCTTCCTGCACACTATCCTGCTCAATCATCACAATTGGGAAGTTTCAGTATCTATATTTTATGGATAAGACATTGAGGCAGAGAGGCTGTGTGATGTTCAAAAGGTCACACAGCTGGTTAGTGCTAAGGCTGTAGTTTCAGCCCACATCTGACTTCAGAGTTTGTGCCCCTAACTACCACACTATTGTACCTCCTAAAAAATATTTTAAATGAACAATTTGCTCACTGATGTCTGTCCTTTTATTTCTCACTATGGAGTGCAGTGGCACTGTGGTAGCTCACTGTAACCTAAAACTCACGGGCTCAAGCAACCTTCCTGCTTCTAATGTCTG